AGCAGCTTGGGGAGGCCCCTACAAAATCTAAAAACAGGTCTGGGTGAATGGTGAAGGAAAGGAGGACATGAGGGATGGGGGTGGTGTGGGAGTAAACTTGGTGGAAGCCTGAGGAAGCCAGAACAGCCCAGCAGGGCCAACCCTGAGTTCCTTGTTTTGGCCGCACTCCTCCCAAATCCACCAGTCAAGTCTGCCCCTCGACCCCTCCAGAGGCCCCTTGTGTGGCGGAGTCCAACAGCCAGGAAAAATATCTCCAAAATGGCCACTTTTCGAGGCCCCTCTCTGCCACTCCCTGCCCCCAACTGGGCCGTCTTCAAGGACAGGTGTAACCTCTCCTCCTGCCACCTAAGGGAGGCTGGAGGACCAGGCAGGTGGGGGCGGGGCGAGGCGGGAGCCTTCCTCACTGTAGCCCTAAACTCCAGCATCCGCATCCGCATCAGCATCTGAACCAGACTGGGTCTCCCGCGCTGGGAAGGGCGTGCCACCCAACTCCATTCCTGACTCCACACGGTCCCCTCTCAGGGAAAGGGTCCCAGAGAGAGAACTTCTGGCCTAGGCCTCTGGAACTCCTAACCCGAGGCAAAACTCGTCCAGGGGACCCACAGGCCCCCAGCGAGGGCAGCCCTGCAGCACTCAGGCCCGCACTCCCGGAGAAAAGGGAGGGGCAGCTGGGCAGTTTGCTGGAAGGGAGGGCTTGGAAACCGAGGGGATAAAATAGCCACGGGGTTCATGCGGAGGAGGAAGGACCCCCAGATCGTGTCCCCAACACTGGCGGACAGAGAGAAGGGCAGCAGTGCTCCCAGCGCCTCGCCTGCGCGCAGGCAGGGCTAGTTGGGGCGGCTGCTGTGGTCTAGAGCGCGGCTCCAGGCGAGGCGAGGTCCAGTCCCGCTCACCTTGTCGATGAAGGAGGCAAACTTGTTGTTGAGGGTCTTGATCTGCTCGCGCTCCTCCTGGCGCACCCGCTGGAGGGAGGGGTCGGCGTCCAGCCGCAGCGGGGCCAGCAGGCTCTGGTTAATGGTGACCTCGCGGATGCCGGCGCCCACCGGGCCCCCATAGGCGGAGCGCACGGCCACGCGCGGTCGCGAGGCGCCCAAGCCGTAGAGGCTGCTGCTGCCAAGGCCGCCGGGGCGCGCGGAGCTCAGGCGCACCTGGGCGCCGCGGCCCGAAAAGGCGGCTGAGCGCGAGGTGAATACCGGGGAGCTGAAGTGAATGGACATGGTGGCTGGGCCGGAATGGATCTAGCGGCGGGCTAGGAGGAGCGCGCACTCGCTGACCTCGGGGACACTCTGCGCCTTTTATCCGCCGGCGCAGGCGGCTGGGCTTCCACAGGTAGGGGCGGGGCTGGCCGCGGGCCACCCTTCTCTGCTGCCAGGCCCCTCCTGGGGCCGTCCTCCGCCATCTGCCCGCCCGCTCCGCCGAAGCCCAGACTTTCAATCCAAGCAGGAATGGTCCGGAGTGGGCAGGAGCGCCATCCCTAGACGGCCGCAGAGAACAGCGGGGAACCACAGTTCCAGCCCATCAGAAAAGGGCTCAGTGAGGGAAGGCTTCCCGGAGGAGGATGCTTGGAGACGGGGTGAAGAACAGAGATCCCTGATGCCGGAGCAGAAAGACCCAGTGGCAAGAGACTGGGGGAAGGGGTGGGCAGAAAAGTTCCAACCCAGGAGTCAACGCCCAGACGCCCGTCCAGGCTGCTGAAGCCAGAAAGGCATTCCTTACCGCTCTCCCTCACACCGATCCAGCTCCTCCTTGAGAGATCACCTCACTTGTTCGGGAGTCTGACCCCTCCTGGCCCAGCTAGTTTCCCTGGCTGCGTTCCCTCCTACTTCATTTCCCAAAGAAACTAGGCTGAGAGGGCCGCGACCGCACTTCTGGCTCCTCCCCTCCCCACTCCAGTAGGCATCGGAAACCCAGGGGCCTTGGGAATGATTACCCCGGACGCTCACCTCCCGGACCCTCCACTCATATTCCTGCTCATTTATTTTATGCGTCCCTGTAGAGGAAGGGGACACTCGTGCGTATTTGTGACACTTTGTGGATGTGTGTACACTTCTGTGTGTACACACCTGCAGGCCTTTGGGCTCTGCTGTGCTCACACCCCCAGGCATATGCACGCGCATGTCTGAGCCTGCTTACACAGACGGGGGTCTGTGCGTGCATCCTGGGCGAGGGGGCAGTTGTGGCTACACAATGGCACACACTTGCAAGCCTGCCTGAGTGCGTGTGCTTCTATTAGCACTCAACTCTCCTCCCACTCCCCCCACCATTTTCCTATTTAAAAGTCCTCAGCTCTCATTATCTTTCTCCCATGAAGCCACCACCAAACAATTCCCAGCAGTTTCAAACCCAGTCAAGAGGGGTAAGCCTCCAGTGCTGGAACAGGGAATACCCGACAGAGCCTGAGTGCTAGCCTCACTTCCCAGTAGGGCCAATCATGCTTGCCACACCCTGTTCTCAGGCCTGGCTTCTGTCTGCCCTTAGCCCACCTCTAACCCCTCCCAATAAGCTGGCCAGATTCGTCACCTCAGACCAAGCCCTTGGGGGAGACGAGGGTGGGGATAGAATGTCCTTCCTGGTTGGCCATTTCAGTTAAAGCACAAGGACTTCCAGCGAGGCTAAAGAATGTCACCCCTTCTCAGTGATCTTAGTGGAGGCTCACCAGCCTCCCTCCCTGTCTCCCCTCCCGGCCCTAGCCTTTGGTGTTGGGTCAGCTCAGGCCAGAGGCAGAGGGGTGCCCAAGCAGACCTGCTATGGTATCAGCTGTGGAGCATGTATGTGTGCGTGAGGCGAGAGAGATTCGACCTGGAATTGTGCCTGGTTGTAGCTTGAAGAGCATATGGATTAGCTGGCCCTGTGATATTTGCATTCATAGGAACCTCACTGCCCTCCTTCCCCAACGCCCAAGCAGGCAAAGAGACCAATTGTTTAATTTATACACATACACACACACACACACACACACACACACACACACACAAACTCCAACTTCCTTACCCCTCAGGGCTCATCTTCAACTCTGTTTTCACCACTGCCTCTCACACCAATGCCTGCCTTCCCACACCTCCCCCAACAAGTTCTGCCTCTGGCCCTCTCATCCATCCCCACCTCCAGCCCCCTACAGGATCTGCACTCTGGAGGCTGTGCCCACCCAGGCCAGGAGTTCCTGCATTCGCTTCTCTCCTAAAGCCTGGCTGGGAAATCTTTGTCAGGGACTCTTTGTTGCTGCCTTGAGGCCCTGGACATGTCACTGTGCTTCCCAGGGTCATGGATTTTTCACCTAAGATGAAATTCCCAGATTCCATACCTAGAGAAGGCTGGGGAGGACAACGGGAAGGAGAAAAGGTCTCTGGACTTTTCAGGTTCATATCTGGGGTTGAGGGTGGGTGACCACTTTGAGCAACATTTCCCCATTCCAGGGCCTGCCTGACATTCACCCCTTGGCCTCTCCTCCCCTCCCTGAAGCATTCCAGGCCATTCCAGCCCTGGCCAGTCTCCTCCTGCCTCTCCATTCACAGGCCAGCACTAGGAGCCCACTCGGTGCCAGGTGGAGCATGCAAACATCCCCTGAAGGGCTTCCCAAAGTGCTGCCAACCCAAGAGGCTACAGATAAGATTCCTGCCCACAAGAGTTCACAGCTCAGCCATCCATCCAGCTTCTGTCTCCACCCCACCCGGCCTTTGTTGGCCTCACCAAGACCACCTTAGGAAATCCTGGGCAGAATCGTGAGGTGAGTTAATCCCACAGTCTTTCCTCGTTGGTCATCTGCCTGCCCCAAATTAAGGCTCCTGTCTCCGTAGCACTCTGTCTCTCTCTCCCACACACACACATACACACACACACACACACTCTGTCTTCCTACCACCCTCCTAGCTGTCCCACCTCACGCTCTAGAACCGAGCTATGATCTCAAAGCAGCCTCAGGTCATCCACATTTCCTGGCTCTGCTAAACCTGCCCTAGACACCTCTGTCCCTGCGGCCCCTGCTACTCCTTTCCCAGAGAGGAGGCATTCTGTTTGGCTCCTTGCTGCACTTAGGGAACTATTACTCATTGTCTATCCCCTAAAAACATGTCCTCTGACTCATAAAGAAAAAAAAACTAATTTTTTCATTATCTTGAAATTCAGATTGGAATGTGGTATATTTGTGAAAAAATAGAAACATCCTAAATGCCTGTCAATAGAGAAGCGATTAAATGAATTGACTAATTCATTTAATCCAGTGAATTGACCATTCACTGGAATGCTATTGGTTGAAAAGAAAATCCTTTATACACTGATTGAGTTTTTAACCTTTATATATTGATTGCACAGATCACTGTGATTCTAAAAATCCTGTGGGCTCCTGCCATCCAGCTCCACCACTCCTGCCCCTCTCCCCTGAGGCTGACCCCTGCTGGCCCCACAGCCACCTCCTGACCTGACTCCCTTCATGCTCACTGTGGACTCTGGTACCCGGGTCCTGCTTCCTCTCCACCCTGAGCTCCCTCATTCTCAGTGCAAATGACCCACCCAGCATCTTACCCTTTGAGTTCCTTGAGCTCCTCAGTTCTTCCACTGCATGCTTTTTCTCTTGCCTACACCTGAGGTCACACTCGAGATCCTAAACTGCAGGACCATTGATAATAACTCTCACTGTCATTGATGGATTCCTCAGGTACACCAGCACCCCAGTACCCCAGTCCTGAAGTTGGCTGTTCCGTTTTCTCCCCACTACCACCCTCCTTTCGCCTTTCTTTCCAGCTTGGGCTCCCTGACCATTACCCTCATGCTCTGACCCCTGACTCTTCAGTCCCCACCTGGATAAATCTCCAGCCCTATTCAGACTAAACCTTGGACTCCTCTCCTCGAGCTCTAGCCTGCAGAGCATTAGTGGAGAAAGTCACATCCTCGAGATTGGGTGTGACCACCAATGCAGTCCCCAGCTCAGCGGCATCCACTTTGCCACTGGGCACTTCTCCCTGCCTTTGGTCAGCAGTGTCTCCTGGGCCTCCTGGTTGCTGGCCATTGACATCCTAGCATTTCCCATGTACCTGCTGAACTTTATGGGCTTGTAGAACTGGATATGCAGAAATGGTTCCCCTACTTCTTGGTGAGGTTCATTGTGATGTACAAAGAACAGAGGGCAAGCAAGAAACGGGAGCTCTTCAGCAACCTGCAGGAGTTTGCAGATCCCTCCGGGAAGCTCTCCCTGCTGGGGGTGGGCTGTGGCACTGGAGCCAACTTCAAGTCCTACCTACCTGGGTGCAGGGTGACCTGTATTGACCCCAACCCCAACTTTGAGAAGTTTTTGATCAAGAGCGTTGCAGAGAACCGACACCTGCAGTTTGAGTGCTTTGTGGTAGCTGCCGGGGAGAACATGAACCAGGTGGCCGATGGCTCTGTGGACGTGGTGGTCTGCACCCTGGTGCTGTGCTCTGTGAAGAACCAGGAGCAGAGTCTCTGTGAGATGTGCAGAGTGCTGAGACCGGTGAGTGAGCTGGGGAGGTGTGCTAAGCTGGATGGAGCATCAGGCTGCATCCGGACACCTGTGGGCTCAGGCACAGCTCACACTGAGGGCAACCTTAGACAAGTCATTTTACTCATTTGTTTATTCTTTTTTTTTTTTTTTTTTTTTTCTGAGACGGAGTCTCGCTCTGTCGCCCAGACTGGAGTGCAGTGGCCGGATCTCAGCTCACTGCAAGCTCCGCCTCCCGGGTTCACGCCATTCTCCTACCTTAGCCTCCCGAGTAGCTGGGACTACAGGCGCCCGGCACATCGCCTGGCTAGTTTTTTGTATTTTTTAGTAGAGACGGGGTTTCACCGGGTTAGCCAGGATGGTCTCGATCTCCTGACCTTGTGATTCGCCCGTCTCGGCCTTCCAAAGTGCTGGGATTACAGGCTTGAGCCACCGCGCCCGGCCTTGTTTATTCATTATTTATTCAACAGACATTTCGAGAGATTTTAAGAGTGCTGACTACGTGCAGCAACAGTTTTCCTGGAGTGGGAAAATTAGTCTCAGAGGGCTTAAATGAGTTCTGCAAAGACACATGGTTCACAAAAATGGCAGAGACACAACTAAACTGAGGCACCTTAATTTCTAGGCCGGAGACCTCACCATGCTGCTCCATTGGTGGCTTTCAACCTGGTGTCTTCTAAATCCCATCACAGAGTCCGGTTTTCTAAAAATGAGGATTACAAATCCCCTATAGTGCATGCCAGAACAGCTCCCTTCCCTAACAAATAAGAGCTTATAAGTACTCAGATATCCATCTTTATTGGCATCATATGTTATTCAGTTCTTATTCTGGGCCCTCACAAAGTCACCTACATGCCATTCTCTAGCCCTTTTCCCTAGTAACAGTCATTAGTCATTGTTTCTGGGTAGTGGGGAAAGCATACAGGGAAAGAATGTAAGAAATGAAAGAAAGGAGTTTCGCCAAAGACATTGCTTATGGAACCACAGGGTATCTTTGAACACCATTTATTTTACAATGTTTCTTACTTCATTGATTATAATTATCAGGGCAATTAATCAACGCAGCCTTGTCATTAAGAAGAATTCAAAACTTAAAGAACACCGGCCAGGTGTGATGGCTCATGCCTGTAATCCCAGCACTTCGGGAGGCCAAGGCAGGCAATTGCTTGAGCTCAGGAGTTCAAGATCAGCCCGGGCAACATGGCAAAACCCCGTGTCTTCAAAATAGATCCAAGAAGAAGAAGGAGAAGGAGAAGGAGAAGAAGGAGAAGAAGGGGGAGGGGGAGGAGGAGAGTAGCTGGGCGTGGTGGTGCGTGCCTGTAGTCCCAGTTACAGTTACATGGGAGGCTGAGGAGAGGGGATCTCTTGAGCCTAGAAGGCAGAAGTTGCAGCGAACCGAGATTGTGTCACTGCACTCCAGCATGGATGACAGTGTGAGACCTATTACTAATAGTTACTTTCATCTTTCAAGTTATACTTGAACCCGTATTTTACTATCATCATACCAAAAGCATAGAGTAACGTAATCCCGTCAATTTAGATCACACCTATAGCACCTTTTATTTCCCCATCCTCATCCCCACAAGCCCCTCTATCTCAAATCCTGGATTTGGTGGAAATAACCTGTCATTTTAGTTTCAAACTATTCTAAGGGTTTTTCTTCCTTGTCTTCTCTTTCAAAAACTCTTTCTAATTTATAATAGTTTAAATCACTTTATCGTCATTCATTTATTTACTACACATTCCACTAGATGTATTGGTCTCCACTGTTTCTTGTGCTATTTGTCTTCCCCTATTGCGAGTTTTAAATTGTTTTGCTCACTTGATTTTCAAATTTAAGTTTCAATTGCCTAGACTACCTTCTTGGATAGTTTCCTTAGAAATGGTTCATGGGGATAATCTTTGTATATCCGAAAATGTCTGTCTTCGCTCCTCACACTTAAGTAATATTTTGGCCAAGATTCTTAGATCTGAGAACTTTCCCCAGAAATTGTAAGTATTGTTCCATGGTCCTTGGTCTTCCCAAATTGCAGAAGATGCCTTCAGTGGCCTTCTGATTCTCTTTCCTCTTCAGGTAACTGATTTTGTTCTTGGTTGTTTTTACATCTGGAATTTTTAAGGATTATTTTCTTTTGAAGTTCCTTTGAAGTTCAGAAATTTCACCAGCATATGATTAGGTATGTGTCTTGTTTTTATTACTATTTCTAGGCACTCAAAGAATGCTTTTGAGGTCAATATTCAAGTCTTCTTTAGGTCAGAGAAGTTTTCTTGCCTTGTTTCTTTCTTTATTGGCCCTACTCCATTTGTTCCTTTCTCTTCTTCTGGAACAAATGTTATTCAGATACGAGATCTCCTAGCCTTAGCATCATCGCTCTTCTCACTCATTATTTCCATTTCTTTATGCTTTTGTTTTGTGTTGCAACATAGTTCCTCCATTCGACCTTCTAGATGACCTCCCCCATGGCCCAGCAGTATTTATTCTACTTTTTACTTCCGCTGTTGAATTTTAAGTTTAAGATTTCTTTTTAATTGCCAAAACCTTATTCTTATTTCCATATCATTTCTTAGTAATATGCTGCTGGATGCCTATGGAGGTTATATTTGGTGCTGTAGATTGTTTTAAAGTTCTATTTTCTTGACTGGGCACAGTGGCTCACGCCTGTAATCCCAGCACTTTGGGAGGCCAAGGCGGGCAGATCACCTGAGATCAGGAGTTTGAGACCAGGCTGGCCAACGTGGTGAAACCCTGTCTCTACTAAAAATACAAAAAATGAGCTGGGCATGGTGGCACATGCCTGTACTCCCAGCCACTCGGGAGGCTGAGGCACGAGAACCACTTAAACGCAGGAGGCAGAGGTTGCAGTGAGCCAAGATTGCACCATTGCACTCCAGCCTGGGCGAAAACAGTGAAACTCCATCTCAGAAAACAAAAACAAACAAAAAAAGTTATATTTTCTTTGTTCCGTTGTCCTCAGTAGTAGGCACCTGTTTGATTGTTGGTTCCCTCCTTCAAGCTGGCAGCACTCTGAAGAGTGAGGACAGCCCCCAAGTTTTCTGGCTGTTACAGGTATTAACGGATGACGGCGCTCTTCTCCCAGCTCAGGTAAACAGAGTGAGTCCCCCTCTATAGAGGGCAGCCAGTGTCAGTAGATTTTATGGCCAGGGCTGGATCCTTCTCTTGTCCTGAGAGAGTGGATCCACCCAGCTCAAGTAACTCAGAGGATCTTGGCTCTGCTAGACAAACAAGCTTCCCCCAAGGCCTTTGGGTCCAGGGTTCTAGGAACTCAAAGCTTCTGATGGAGCTGCTTTGGGCTCTAGCAAAAGACCAAACTTCCCCATCCACCATCATTTAACTGATTAGCTTTTTATTCTATTGACTGATTATCCCAGCAGCACAATGAGGGAAGAAAAAAAAAAAAAAGTCACCCTTCTCCACTTCAGCCACCACTTTCCAATATGCTCCAGAGATAGATAAATATTGATACGGATATATACATTTTTATCAAAGTTATATATGCTAGCCGGGCATGGTGGCTCACACCTATAATCCTAACACTTTAGGAGGCCAAGGCAGAAAGATCACTTGAGTCCAGGCGTTCAAGACCAGCCTGAGCAACATAGTGAGACCCTGTCACTACAAAAAAAAAAAAATTTTTTTTTAAAGCAAAGTGGCATGCACCTGTAGTCCTAGCTACTCAGAAGACTGAGGTGGGAGGATCGCTTGAACCCAGGAGACAAAGGCTCCAGTGAGCCATGATTGTACCTTTGCACTTCAGCCTGGATAACAGAGTGAGACATTGTTTCGAAAACAAAACAAAAAAAAATTTATACTTGTGTGATTTAAAGAAGCAAACCATTAGACTTATTATGAAAAATAACAGCTCTTACTTATATACAATGTCTGCTCCCCAATGGCAACCACATTCAAGTTTTGGCCTTCTATTTTAAATTTTATATCCACATCTCTAAATAACATATTTATACTGCTACTTCTCAACTTTTCAGGTTTGAGCATTAACTATTGACTTCTCACTCTGAAAAGTAAGAATTTACCTCTCTTTAACAACCATCCCAGGGCCACCATATTTCCCATCTCCCCTCATCCTGATAGAATTATTTCATTAATTGATATTCAGAGCAAAGGGGTATAGTATACTTCATTTAGTTTTGGGACCATTCAATCAATATGCTTCCCTACTTTCGCTTTTCCCAGAGTTAATGAATCATTCCAGAATCTCCCTCACTGATAAATTGATAGAACATGTCAACGATTCTATCAATTTCATCATCTGGAGTTGTTTTTCCCAAAGTCTCTCCCCGTTCCCACCTGGACTGGGTGCTCTCTAGACCTGATGCACTGCTCTCACCTTGGTGCCTACCATCACCATCATGAGGCTAGGATTTGTCTCTTGCTGGGGACTTTCTATCTCCTACATTCTATCTCTTCCTTAGTTTACTTTCTAGTTTTGGTAGCTTTCTGAGGTTTGTGAGGAAAATGTGTTGAGAAAGTACACGTCTGAACTTTTTTATTCTCAAGACTAATTCATAATTTTGGCAGCTGTGGAATTCTGAGTTGTAAAATGTTTGCCCTCAGTAGTTTAAGGGTGTCCATTGCCTTCTAGCCACCAGTATCGCTGCTGAAAAGTCTGAAACCATCTGATTCTAGATTTCTTATGTGAAATCTTCTCCCCCGAACCATATGTTTGTTGAATCTTCCCTGTCCCAGTGAAATGACTTGATCTTTTGGCGATTTAGTGGACTATTGCATTAACAAGCTCCTATCTTTCGGTTCTGGAAATTTGCTCAGGCTATTTCTTTGAGTTTTCTTCCTTTACATTCTTTCTGTTTTCTCTTTCTAGAACTCTCCTTATTCAGTGCTGGAACTAACACCTGAACTGGGTCTCTGATTTTCTAATCTTTGCTCTCCTGTTTCCTAGTGCTTTGTCCTTTTTCTCTACTCTCTAGATTTCTTTCATATTCTCTTCAAAGCTTTTTACTAAATTTTTCATTTCTGCTATCATTGTTTTAA